TTATTGCTATATCAATGCAAATATCTAGGCAGAATTACTCCCTTATTCTCCAGGAATGTTTTAATATTATTTAATATAATAACAGCAAGCTGCTACCTATGAGATCTAGAGAGAGGCACTTTACAACTCTATAATACACTTTCTAACCAGAGATAGAGAGCCGAGGTGGCGCAGTGGTTAGGCTGCAGTACTGCAGGCCACTTCAGCTGACTGTTATCTGCAGTTCAGCGGCTCTAATCTCACCGGCTCAAGGTTGACTCAGCCTTCCATCCTTCCGAGGTGGGTGAAATGAGGACCCGGATTGTTGTTGGGGGCGATATGCTGATTGTAAACCGCTTAGAGAGAGCTGAAAGCCCTATGAAGCGGTATATAAGTCTAACTGCTATTGCTATTGCTACTGCAAACTCTCCATTCCCACCCCACTCTGGGGCCAGCCAGAGGTGGCATTTACCGGTTCTCCGAACTACTCAAAAGTTTCCGCTACCGGTTCTCCAGAACCTGCTGGATTTCACCCCGTGTTGAAATCCAGATATCTTAAAAAGTTGCAGCTGGGAGGGCAGATGGAGCAGATTACTCGGCTAGGAAGCAATGCACCGTTAACAAAAAAAACTCCCAGCAGCCTCTTTGGGCCGCACTGCTGTCCTGGAGGAGCGCAACGCAATCTCCTTTCTCTTGGCACAAACTTCCCCCAGATAACCACCTCTCCCCTACCTGCATTGCTGGCGCTCGGCCTCCTCGTGAATGTATGGCGGGAGGGACTCCACGCAGCTCTGCAAAGGGATGGCTGGAGTGAGGAAGGGCAGCAGGGTTCTAGCGGCCTTGTTACTTTTACAAGGGTAGCCCCTTAATGACCCTCAAACCACAGCGTGGCACCCCCAACTGCCCCCCCCCCACAGGACAGTAACCTCCAAAGTTCCTCCAAAGCCAGAACAAAGTCCCAGCAACCAAAACCTTTAACCCCAAGCGAAGGCCCGACTGCACCCCTTTTAACTCGAGACACAGAGCGGTTTGTCCTCAGCCGGGCGGCTTCTGTCTCGGGCCCAGCCCTGGGAGCAGCTGAGCCCTTCTGCTTACACAAACCCTCGCACACCTACCAGCTCCTTGAATGTTAGACGGCAGCCATAGCAGAGCAATGGGAGAAGGTCGGAGCTCTCTCTGGGGGGTGGGAGGGAAGCAGAACGTCGGTCACCAGTGCTACCTAGTGGTTTATTAGGGGAGGGGGCCAAGGAGAGCAGGGCAGCTCTTCCACACCCAGCAGAAGATTCTCTCTGAGGGGGTCTCACCTTCCTGCTGGGGGTTTTCCGCAGCAGCCTGCCTGGATGCCGCCCCCGCAGCCTTCCTCCTCAGCTGGAGGCCGCCGGCTGAGTTTTTCGGACAGCAGCGTGGCCTGCAAGGAGGACCCGTCCTCTGCCAAGGAACAAGAGTGGCGGCCGCTGAGAGCTCGTCCTTGGGCCAAGAGGCAGAAGCCTCGACAGCTGAAGCTGGGTTCTTAACGCCCTGCAATCAGCAAACCTCGCGGCACCCGGAGCTCAAGGGTTGAATACGCCTCTCCTGGACGTGTCAAACCAGCAGGCAGTCGCGTCTCTTTCATCAAGCAGCAAGTGTGCATTTATCCCCATGCCTGTTTGGCAAAGCAGCAGGGAGGGAAAGAGCGCCCCCCCTCCCCACAAAATATTTCAACTCCCAGGTTGCGCCAAGGAGGACTGGCTGTAATTCTGACACCGTGGAGGTCTGGCTAGCATCTCCGTCCTTGTCTGTTCTAGAAATCCCCGGCAGGAACCAAAAGTTAATCTAGAAGTGAGTCCCTCCCCCCCCCCAAAAAAAAGAAGACCACTTACCAACATTGGTGTCCAGGGGGCAAAGGCAGAGAAGGCAGCGGGCCGGTGCTGTCAACACATCAGACTGGACTTCTTGAGGGTCCGTACTCAGCTTCTCTCCTGTCCTGGAACAGAGCAGAGGGGGCTTCAGGAAGAGGAGGGAAGGGGAGGGAAGCCCACCTCCTGCCTGGCCCATCCACGCTACCTGCACCTCCTGAAGGGAGGACATGAACTCCCTTTGGAACTAGGTGCCACTTGTTTTAACACGGCGCTTGAAAGGATCCTCCCATTAAAACTGATTTTTCAGAAAACAAGCCAACATCCCCCCTCTCTAGCTTGCTCTGCTTTGCCCACAGAAGCCGGGACACGTCAGCAATGCTGCAGGGGGCCCACGAGTGTGAGGGAAGGGAGTCACGCCTAATGGTCACCACTGCTGAACCTTTGCCAGGCACTTCTTCATTTGTTGTCCTCCTTTACCAGACAAGGGGAGGGACGCTCACCGGTAGACTGTGCTGAGGGTGGAGGGAAATTCCGACTGCAGCTTGCAGAGGAAGCTCTCTATCAGGAGGTGGATGCTGGCTCTGTCAGAGGCCTGGAGGAGGGGAAAGCCTCCGTCACGGCTGCTCAGATCCTCCTGAGCCACCCAAGGGGATCCTCCTCGGTCCCTTCCACGCTGTCTCCAGCCAAATTCCTAACGGACACCTACTTTGGTGTCCAGGCCAGGCGTGAAGACGGTGGGCACCCTGAAGAGGTAGTTGTAGAAAGCGATCTCTTTGGCCGGATATTCCCGCATCGGACGCAGGATTAGGACGTCCCCATAGCGGCTATCCAAGAAGCCCTTTGGGGGAGGAGAAAGGAAAAAGGGGAAGCAAGGCCAGATCAGGGAGCAGAAAGGCAGAGCTGCTCAGAGGCCGCAGGCACCCTTGCACCCCGACATCTCGGGGGGATTCTGGGACGGAGATTGAGCCGGGGAAAGCTCCACCTGGCTTCTCTGGCCACAGCATGGAAGCCTGAATCCCAGAGGCCTTGCTTTTCTTCTGTAGAATTATCCTGTCTGTCTGTCTGGGAAATATTCCTCAGTGGGCTTATCCCGGGGTGAAACGTGAAGTTTAGCCACTGGATTCTATGCAGGTTTAAGTTAAGAGTTTCCTTCCCCTTCAGGGACAAGACCTCGCTTCATAAAGCTCAGGGAAGCTGCTTGCAAGGATGTCTGAACCGAAGAGCAAGGCCCCGAGGGGCCAAAACACGAAGCACGCTCTGTCCAGTGGGTGGGGAAACCGTGAGCCGCTTTGTTCTCACCGTGTCCAGAGCCAGGAAGGCCCCCCGTCCCAGAGAGAGGCTGGCCAGCAGCTTCACGCTCACACGGGTGCAGCTGTCTCCCACCATCACCTTCGTGTATCCGTTTCTCCGAGCCACCTGCAGCATCAGGTGAGTCCTAAAAAGCAAAGATCTCTCTCTCTCTCTCCCGTCCCAGCCAAGAATCTGGGATCCAACCAGGGGCCCAGAAAGCAATAAACTGTTTGTTTTCCTAGAAACAGCAGCCTAGAATGCCCCATAACCAGCCATCTAGAACAGTGTTTCTCAACCTTGTCAACTTGAAGATGTCTGGACTTCCAACTCCCAGAATTCCCCAGCCAGCGTTCGCTGGCTGGGGAATTCTGGGAGTTGAAGTCCAGACATCTTCAAGTTGACANTGAAATATTTGATTGTAAATGTTTTAACGGCAGCTAGAATTGTATTTGCAAAAAATTGGAAAAATGAGAAAATATCAACGCAGGAGGAAGTTATTCGAAAAATAATGGAATGTGCTGAAATGATTAAATTGACATTCAAAAATAGCAAATCAGAAAATGAACAATTTTATAAGGTATGGGATTTGTTCTACCAGTGGTTAGATAAAAAAATATGAAAATGAAAAATCTTGGAAAAGTTTTTCATATTGTAATAATAGAATGAGATAGGTGATACCATAAAGACATATTATTATTAAATAGATTGATAATGATGCAATGGAATATTGGTATATATATGCATCGAATATCTAGAATATTTTTGTTTAAAATGAAGGAATAACAATTGTAGTTGAATATATGATGTACAATGATAACAATGTATCTATGTATATTTGATGGATAATTCGTGACTTTATATACAATTGAAAATGATGCACAAGTACAAAATGTTGAGAATTTTTTCATATGGTAAAAACAATCGAATGAGATGGGTGATACTATAAAGACATATTATTACTAAATAGATTAATGTAATGGAATGTTGGTATATACATGAATCTAATTTTTAAATATTTGTTTAAAATGAAGGAATAACAATTGTAAGCTGAACATATGATCTACAATGAGAATAATGTACCTATGTATGATGGACCGTCTGTGATTTTATATATAATTGAAAGCGGTGATGCACAAATGTTTGTAACCAAACGACACGCTATATGTATATGTATTGATGATGGTTTTATGTTTCATGTGTTGTTCATCTTTGTCTGCCTAAAAATAAAAATAAACTTTTTTTAAAAAATACTGTCTATCTTGTATTTGGTTCTCATTGTATGTATCCCTGTTTTCCCCAGTTTCACCATATCCTGTTCTTTCAATAAAGCATTCAGATCTACACACATGGTCTGTTTATTGGAGGATAGGTGAGTTTAGCTGCATGTTGAGCTGCACGGAGACTAAGGTGTAGTGGGGACAGAACAGAACAGCTGCATTCATTCATTGCAGCCCTGATGTTGAGCAGTTGCTGAATGAATGGTCATTAAACTAGGACTAAACAAATAAACACAGAATTATATTTCTAAGAAAACTCATTACTGCAAGGTCATTACTCTTGGCCGGATCTAGATTCAGTAACATTTAGAGTAGATTCACTAACAACCCTAAGTGTTATTATGTTGGGATATAACTAAAAAGTTGTAGCGTAGAAGTTAAAGTGTTGAATAAGTACTGGGATATCCAGTTTAGTCCATCTATAACTATAGAAGCTCAATATATTATATCAATTGACATGTTTATTCATTCTACTGAATCAGTAGAGACTCATGGTTGTTTACAAAATAATCACTAAATTATCTATGGTAAATATAAGGAAATTAAATTAAAACAATCAGTAACCAACCAATGTTACAACAATGTGATTATAATATTCATAAAGTAATGGAAAAATAATTACAATATAAAATTATACCATAATTTTATAATATTCATAAAGTAATGGAAATAATTAAAAGTCCAAATAAAATAATACTAACAATTAAATCAATCAAAGTAATTCAAAGCAAAATAAATTAATCTTATTACTGCTGGAGGAATGGTGGAACCTAAATCTAACAAATAAATACATTAAATAAATTAAAAGAAACCTATAACATAGAACAAGGTCAATGCAATATCATTATTACATGGGGTAAGTTGGGATTTATATATGAGATAAATGGGTTAATGGTAACTACATTGAACTTACCAACATCTGCCCCACTAAGGCTTTTTCCCAGAGGCCAGGGCCTCATGTCGATGGGTTTTCCATTAATAGTGAGTGACTGAACACACCCTTGGAAGCCATGATTGATTCCTACTGACTTCACAAGCCAATAAGCTGTGGGAGCACCGCCAAGATAGAAGGGAGTCCGAAAAGTAATTTTGCTATATTGACCCTAGAAGCAGAAGGTAGACAGAGAGGAAACACTGATGAGAAATTAGGCAAAAGAGTAAATATAGAAGCCACTTTATTTCAATTATTACATTTCTGTCTTGCTTTTCCTCCACAGATTTTATTTTTTTATAATAAATGTTTTTTAATTTTAGTTTAAAACAGGTACACATCTTTCTTTGCATCTGTAGAAAATGTATCAATCAATTACAGATAAGTTTTGGTACATCTCCTCCACAGTCAACCAACATAACTCATATTAACTAAAGCATTATTATATATCCATTTTCATTTAACTGTAATTATTATTTAAAAATATTGATAAAAGTAATAATCTTGAACAATCCCTGCCCACACCGGTGGGAGAGGAAAAAATCAAAGAAAAAAAAAAGACAAATAGAAAATAAAAATTAAAATAAAAAATAAAAGATAAAAATAATACAAAAAAAGACAAAACCGACAAGAGACAAGGCAGGAAAACAAAACATAACACAGGTGTCTATCATGGAAAAAAAAGAAGTATATCAACTGGTTACAACATGTTTTGGTGCTTCTCTTCCATTAACTCATATTAATTCAAATATCTTAACTCGAATATTTACCATATCAACATCATTATACCTCCAGTTTTAATTACCTATGGTTATTTAAACATCCTTCATCCTTAGCTATACATTACATAATTAATCCATAACACATGCTGACAACTCATTTACTTATTTGTAAAATCCTCTATTATCATCAAATCCTCATATCCTATTTTAGCTGGACATCCATAATATTTAATTATATCATATATCATAACATTTTCCCAGTATTGATTAATCCTCCACAGATTTTAGTGGGACACATAATGTTCCTAGTCAGTTCCTTACTGAACAATTTAACTTAACCAAAATGGGAATTCACACCATGTCTCAGGCAACTCCATAACTAGTTAAATGTAGGTAATACTCTATGATGAAATTGCTCGGAATTACCGGGTTTTTTTCCAGAGTATAAGATGCACCCTTTTCCCTCAAGAGGATAAAGATCTGGGTGCATCTTATACACTGAATACAGCATTTTTTGCCTCCTGAAACCCCACCCCCTTTGCAAAAATGGCTGTGCATAGCCTTTAGGAGGCTAATAGAGTGCTCCTGAGGCTGAGGAGGGCACAAATGAGAGAAAAACGGGCTACTTTTGCTCAATTTTGCCCCCACCACCAGCCTCCCGAAGCACTTTACAAGCCTCCTAAAGGCTATTCATGCCCCTTTTTTGGTGAAAAACAGGAAGTCTTTGGAGATTTGAAAACCTTTTTTAAAAAATTTGCCTCTTCAAAAACTTGGTGCATCTTATACTCTGAAAGTCTTACTCCAGTTGTAGGAATCCAAGATTCTTCTTAATTGGTTTTTTAAAAAATAAATCTATTTTACAGTTTTCTTCACTATTAGAATACTGTTCAGCTGTTCAAATGTGCACATTTTTGTGCAGAGCTCCTCCTCTGACCAGTAATACTGTTCTCTAGTTTTTGTTCTAAAAGGCAAAAGAAGGACAAAAGAAGTCCCATCAATGGTCAATCAAGAGATAATTCAGGTTTGCTGGTAGAAAGACTTTGGAGATGAGGAAATAACTGTAGTAGGGTTGAGTTCAATTGAAATTAGAACGGAGATTCCTCCATTCTATTAGTTTTGCAACTATTTTGATTAGCTGATTCTTTCCAAAGAAGCTGCATTTTTTAGATCCATTTATCTAAACCTTAGCAGGTTTAAGAAGTATGAGTTTCAACTCCCAGAATTCCCCAGTCAGCAATTCTGGGAGTTGAAATCCACACATCTTAAATCTGGATATAGAATATATAATCCATCTTCTGCCTGGAAAAAACAGAGCAAAGGACCTTTCATCTCTGATTTAGTTATTGTTTTTAGCTGTATTTCCTGTAAGCTGGTTTATATAGCCATTTAAGATATCATGTCCCTTCACTTCTTTTCCTTCATTCCAATACTTCATTGGATATATTAGCAATAGCAGTTTGACTTATATACTGCTTCATAGGGCTTTCAGCCCTCTCTAAGCGGTTTACAGAGTCAGCATATCGCCCCCACAGTCTGGGTCCTCATTTCACCCACCTCGGAAGGATGGAAGGCTGAGTCAACCTTGAGCCGGTGAGATTTGAACCGCTGAACTGCAGATAACAGTCAGCTGAAGTGGCCTGCAGTACTGCACCCTAACCACTGTACCACCTCGGCTCTTAATATTGATACACCAAAAAGAAAAAAACTGATGTAGTTCTAACTAGTGTTATTTTGTACTTACATCATCACTTTTATCCTCCTAAAAAATGCATGGGCAGCTGGTTAAACATCGGAAGGTGGTACTGATGTAAGATTTTTCCTTACTCAAAATACTTACAGTAATAGAAGCACTCCTCCTTACCTGAGTGGGAAGCACTGACTATTGATTCAGAGATATTTTAAGATATATTTTTATTTCAAAGTGACAAAGAAACAGCAAAGGCACTAGTCTAGACATCTGGAAAACCAAGGGAAGGAAACAGAAACTATGTAAACGATACTAGGGATAGTACAAGCTAGTGATAGTTTAAATTAAGTTCTGGCTCCCAAAATATATAGTTGGCCCTTTAAGGAAATAGGACATACCCAGACAGATGATTTAATGTGGTTTGCTCCAGGCATTTATTCTGTCTTACATAGCATGTCTCTATTTTGTTTGTAAGGCCAGAAAGAACAGCTATCCTAATAGCTTATAGCATGGCAAATGAAGGTGTAA